TTTTTTTTTTTTTTTTTTTTTTTTTTTTTTTTTTTTTTTTTTTTTAACTTTCCAAAAGGGTTGGGGGGGGGGAGTTGTCGGTCTTTATTAATTACAGTATGTTCAGAGTCATTTCGACCCAATAAAGTAAGTTGACTTTTTTGTAACTTCCCTAATTTTCGGTCCGATTTGGACCGTCTTCCCTGGTAAGTATGTTAGTAATGGTGATATTCACCGAATTGAGCCACTTCTCTGAAACTTTGTTGGGTACTTTAATAACTCTGGAGTACGATGTCCCGAATCGAGGTTGGCCTGGGCAAAGAGGACTTGGTCATAATAGAAGGATATGACTTGAATATAAGAGTGAAAAAGGTGAAATAATAATATACCATATAGACAGAAAGTCATATAGTAAAGAAATTAAATGCTGTAATAAAACATGGCACTTTATACTTTGTAATACAATTGCAGTGACGTCGCTACTGGACGATATCGCAAGCAACACATAAACCGGACAACACCCAGACCAGTAGCCTTCTGCAAATAAAGGCATGAATATTTCTAGTACAGTACACATTTTTGTTTTTTGTTGTTTTTTTTTTTATAAGAACACTGAGGCTGAAATTGCTTAAAAATTAAGAACAAAATAAGAACAAATTGATTGAGCCTAAGGTGAAATTTCAATTGAGATTTTTATTTTTTTAAAACTAGAAAAACCCAAAAATATCTGTACCTTACGTGTAAGTGCGACTATCCAGTAGGTGCGCTGTACTTACCGTACCGTCATTTGGGACCATTTTTACCTGGGCGTTTTTTTTTTTGGTGCCTCTTTTTCAGGGGCCATTTTTTCTGGGCCACATTCCAGTACAGTGTATAATGCTGTACAATAATAATTTTTCATATTTGAAAATTGTGTAAAAAAAATTTTGAACCTGAAATCGGCCCAAAAAATACGAACACTGAGTCTGGGCAAAATTGTACTGGTTCTTATTTAAAAAAAAAAAAAAAAAAAAAAAAAAAAGTATACCTGTCCTCGTGTCTTTGTCAGCGTGATTATATGTATGTATATCAGTTTCACACTTCCACGTGGCTAGCTGAAAGTTTCGAAGGAGTCCTCAACATTCAATGAACTAATATTCACCATACTAAAATAAATAAAATACCAGGGAAGCAAACTTGCGTAACAACATGAATGAAGAGGCACCTGTTAAAACAGGATTGATTGAATAATTTAATTGTTCACAGATCAATCGCGCTACGCCCGTAGAGTTTCCAGATTGGAGCAAGTAAATTAAAGTAAGTCAATATTTTTATTTGATCGAAATGGCTCCGAGTCCAACCATAAATAAAATCTTTAAATTGACGTTAATATGCCAAATTAGCGCGGCCGCAGGGATTAGCTGCGAAAGCGATCGATTTCACAGCCTGCCAACGAACTTGCATTTTGTCCTTGGGTAAGTTGCTCTGGGAACAGGTTAAAACGGCAAAAAACCAAAACGGCAATAAATCAAAACGGCAACGACCAAAACGGCAAAAAACCAAAACGGCAACACTTAGACCAAAACGGCAATAAACCAAAACGGCAACACTTCCAGAACAAAAGGCCTACTGTATGGTAATTGGCAAAATGGCGAAATAAAATACTACTAGGCCTAGGCCTAGAGAGTCTAAGCCGAGGGCAGACTAATCATTTAATAGTTATTGTTATAAAAATGTACAGGCCTACATAAATGATTGCGGTTATCAATCGCCTAAAATTTCGGAGGAAAAAAAATACAATAAAAAAACGAAGAAAAAATATATGCACTTGTATTTACGACGTTGTCTTATAATTGTCAATAGAAAATGATCCATTATAAGTAATACACAGCACTTGATGATGGCGAAGCCGTGCATGACGTTTTGAGTTGACCATAAACAATAGGCAACACAGTTAATACAGTAATTGAATCACCGATTCAACAATAGTTTGCTTAAAACGCCTTTTTTTAAAAATTAAACGGTTATTGAAAATAACGTTCCATGGGAGTTACCTTAAAAAAACCCCCTCATGATTTCGCACCTTATTCATGAACCGGTTTGATGGTTTTATTTTAACTGCTGTTACTATATAAGAACATTATTTTTTTTTTAAATCGCACAAGACAGGACAAAAAATATTACAATAAAACATGAGGATGGTCTATAAAAGTTTTCTTTGGGAAGTAAAAAATCGCGAAATAAGGTGAATTTAGGCAGTGATTTTTAACTACTTGACCGTGATTTGAAACCAGTGTCAGTACTGTATAATCTTAGGTAAGCATGTGGTTAAAATAAGCAAGAATTTAGTCCAACGAAACTGTCTATCATCTTGATACCTTCCGACGAAAATTGACCCTACCGGCGTCCCCACCGATCGATCTAACGTGACGTTGTTATGTGGGTGTTTTATAGATTATTGAGAATGGTAATATCACCGAAAAAATAGATAAAATGACAGTTGAATGACCAACAAAGACAATAGTTTGACGAAGCTGGACCGAACCAGGACTCCTCAGGTGGACTATTTGGCCCCTAAAGCGGCTTTCATGTTTCCAGCTAAGTGACACCTTTTAATTTAGCTTACATGCAGACATTGCCTCCGCTCAATCCAGACCACTCAAACTATTAATGAATTAAAATCTTGTTGGAAATCGGCTCATTATTGTGCAACGTCATGCCAAATAATAAACCCGAAATTTCTTTCCAAAATCTTCAGCAAAGTGGGCGTGGTCGGGCGTCGCTCCAAACATTTAGAAGGTCCAGGGGCGAAGCACCCGAAAAATAAGGGGTTTCAAAGGCTTATGTAATCGATTTTAGAGTCTACTATTGTATTTCTCCTTTGTATCTTCACATGTAGTTTCAACGGCATGGCAACATACATCTTTCCATCATGTTCACATGATCTCTCTCTCTCACTCTCTCTCTCTCTCTTGCTCCTGTACTGTGAAATATATATATGTTTTCATAATTTTTATTCCACAATGCTTATTGTATATTCAAATGCTATATCCTAACTGTCCTTGAATGCTTTGACAAACTATATTTTTTAATCGATTTCTTTCCACAAAGCTCACATGCATGGTCTCTCTTCTGTATGTATCCTCAAATGATGTTACAGGTATGATATTTATATTTTTATCCACGATGCTCAAATTATAGTTTTTCTCCTGTGTGGGTCAACATATGTGCTTCCAAATTACTTTTCGTAAAGCACTTTCCACAATGTTCACATTTATATGTTGTCTCTTCTGCAAGAATCCTTAAATATCTTCTTAACATACCTTCAGGGCCAATCTCCTTGCCTCGTCCTCTAAAACAAAGTACAGTATAACACAAGGAGGATGTTAGCTGAGTGCTGAATTTTAACCAGACCCTGATATCTCTAATATTTGTATTGTTTAAATACATTTCAATTTATTTTATTTATTCTGCATCCCAAACAGTGGTGGCGTCGTCGGGGATTCCCCTGGCCTGCGAAGCCATGACGGGGTCGTCGGCATCAAAAAGGAAAAAAAATGTTGCCACCCCTACGAGGTTGCACATCCCCAAGCAGTGGTGGCGGCAGGTTCCCCACCCAGCCTGATGCCACGACGAGATCGTCGGATCTATAGAAGAAATAATAATTTGCCTCCAAAACGTTATTTTGCGGATTGCCAATTCCTGATTGGATACTATGCAAAGCTAAATAATAATATTTATTATTAACTAATATAATAATAATAATAATATTATATATTAATTAGGCTCTAGTCAGCCACTTGGTTAAGACTCCCCTCCCCCTCCCCAGGACACATCGGACCCCTCGTCGGAAAATTTTGTTGTTACCACAGGTGTTCCTAAGAACCAAGGCTGTTCTAGTCCCGATTCACATCAAAACAAACACACTCGTCCGACCAAAGCCACACTGACGTAACAGGTACCGTAGCGAATAAAAATGAATTTTGTAGTTCATACACACTGTTAAATTCTCACTTTATTTTTTGGCAGATTTCTTGAGAATTTACAGAACAAATTTGCATATACAGTAGGTCTACTGAATGATCGGTGTCGCGTAGACGCGTGACAGGCACCGTGTGAATTATTTTGTAAACATCAGAAACATTAATTAAAACACGAAACAGTGCCTACCTCACTATAGAACCAAGGATTTATTAACTGTAAACGCTCAATTCATTGAGAAAATAACAGTAGAAGTATACCTAAACTAAACGTCCCCATGGTTACGTTTTTTTACTGGATAAAGCCAAAACATGCCCATTCGTCATGCAGAATCACCCAAATGGAAATTTCCTCCATGGTAGTACATTACTAAGCATGCGTGAGACACTAAACACGAGCCAAAAATGTTTGTAACCATGGGGGTATTTGTACCGAACAAGCCTCTCGGCAATTTCTAGCAGCAGCATCAGTAGTGATCAGTATGCAGTGCATGTCTAATATCGTGAGAGCCTACTTGTGAGAATGTGAGAACGTTTCTCACAGATTCACTGTTACTAGGCAACTTGCAGTACTGGCAACTTCGTATTAAGATGCCTATTTCAAGCAGTTTTTGTTTCACCAAGAATTCAGAGAAAATATCTCTTTCCCGACCAAAACAACCCAGCCAACCACACACTTAGTAGAATCTAGTAGTTATGTTCAGTCATTACGCATTTATTGCCACAACCATGTGAGGGAGCCCAGTCCCCACCGGAGTTCTGCCCCTGGACCCTGAGGGCCCTGGCGGCCTCTCCCCTCCCACCCACCTAACTGGTATAGTCACACATTTCAAATCTCTCAGGTTGGTGACTATGCATGCACTGAATGTTCTCCCAACCAGGTCACTAATTACACAACAACTTCCGCACTTCAAACTTCTGGATTGACAAACTGAGTTCAATCTACTGCCAAGAGGGCAGTAGACATAAAAATTGGTAAACTAGTACAAACATAATTAAAAATAAATGCAATTTCATATAAATCTTTCATTTCTTTTTAATTCAATTTCTGTTCTCCATTTCAAAGCACTATCACATTAATCTTCTTTCCACAATTCCGAAATAATAACCCACAAGATTATGTCTTTCTAAATATTTATCACATCTTTATACCTTCCCAGTGTTCACATTTGTATAGTGTTACTGTATTAGTGTTACCAAAATTATGTGCTGTTGAAATTATCTAATTATTATTTATATCCTTTACACATTTTCCACAATCTTTATATTAGTGTCTGTCGCGCTACGGTACTCTAGTTTACCATTCGTATAACAGCATGGCAACATTAGCAATACGCATTTTTCCATAATGTTCACATGAACTCTCTCTCTCGCTCCTGCACTGTGAAATTTATATTTTTCATAAATCTCATTCCACAATGCTTATTGTATATTTGAAAGCTCTATCCTATGTATCCTTGAATGCTCTGACAAATTATATTTTTTAATAAATTTCTTTCCACAAAGCTCACATGCATATGGTCTCTCTCCTGTATGTATCCTCAAATGATTTTTCAAAGTGCTATTATATTTAAATTTTTTTCCACAATGTTCACATTTATATGGTCTCTCTCCTGTATGTATCCTCAAATGATTTTTTAATGTGGTACTGTCCTTAAACTTTTTTCCACAATGTTCACATTCATATGGTTTTTCTCCTGTATGGGTCAACATATGTGCTTCCAAATTACTACTTTTTGTAAAGTTTTTTCCACAATGTTCACATTCATATGTTGTCTCTTCTGCAAGAATCCTTAGATGTCTTCTTAAAGAGCTTCTGTGATAAAACCTCTTCCTACAATGTTGACATTCAAATGGTGTCTCTCCACTGTGTATCCTCAAATGTGCTGCCAAGTCATTATTTTTTGTAAATTTCCTTTCACAATGTTCACATTCATATGGTCTCTCTCCAGTATGTGTCTTCAAATGTCTTTGCAAAGAGCTGCCGTCTTTAAACTTCTTTCCACAATGTTCACATTCATATGGTGTTTCTCCTGTATGTATCCTCAAGTGTCTTTTCAAAGCACTATTGTATGTAAATCTTTTCCCACAATGTTCACATACATATGGTGTGTCTCCAGTATGTATTCTCAAATGAGTTTTCAAAAAGCTGACAAAATTAAACCTCTTTCCACAATGTTCGCATTCATACGGAGTCTCGCCTGTATGTATCCTCAAATGTATTTTTAAACATTTACGATTTTTAAACTTCTTTCCACAATGTTCACATTCATATCGTTGATCATCCGTTCTTATTCCCAGATGTGTTTTCAAAGTAATTAAATCAAACTTATCTCCGCAATGTTCACATTTAAATTTCATCTCTTCATTGTTCTTTTCCAATATCTTTGATTTGCTACTTTGCTCATAATTTCCATCAAATTCACTGCTATCATCCACATTGTTCTCCTGTGTATTATTACCAGTAGACATCTTTAATTATCTTTAGCATTGCACTAGCCTGGAAAAATATAATAATGAAAATTAATATTGTTAATTATCTTAGCATTGCTAAAAAAAATATAATAAATTATGTCAGTTAATGTTGATTATTGTTTGAGGGTAAAGAAGCAAACAAACAAACCACTATAAAAGGAATTATTGAATGATTTCTAAGTCAATCTTATTTTGCCAAATTGTTGTGGTTTCCATTAAACAACAGCCTGTAAGTCAAATTTTATCTATTTCGAACAAATTATTAAGGCCATTTTGTGTTTGACTTTAGGCAAGTTCAACAGTATAAGAAAGTTTTTAAAAGGGCTTACAAAAGCTGAATACATTTTACTATGTTATTAAAACTAAGGGTTCTTGTTCACCATAACTGTCAACAGTAATTGTAGGCTCCTTAATATATATTTTTCTTTGTTGCATTCATTGTATATATTTCTAGTGCTACTGTCTTCTTTTTTTTCACAATGTTCAAACTCACATGTCTGTGTTTATCTTTAAATGTTTTTTTTTTTTTTAACTGACAGCCTTTTTAAACTCCTTTCCACTGCAGTGTTCACATTTATATTCGTATTGACAGTAGTTATGTATAATGTGTCTTTAAATGTTCTTTCAGTTTGTCTATTTGACAGAATATCTCTCTGCAATACCTGTGTTTACATTCACATAGTGTGTCTCCTGTATGTATTAATAAATGTTTTTCCAAATAAATATTTCCTTTGAATTTCTTTCCGCACGGTTCACAAGCAAACAGGCTCTCTCCTGTTGTGTGTTTGCATACTGTAGGTACTTTCAACTTGTTTGTAGTTGTCTGTAAATGTCTCGCCACAATGCTCACATTGCATACAGTTACCAACCGTCTTGCATCATGTAGGACGATCCCGCATTTCAAAGTGATTTTGGATGAAACACGCATTTTGCAGAAACACATCGTGATCCTAAATTTGTCAAGCATTTAAAACAAGTATATGCGTGATAACGAATTATCAAGAATTCAGGGGAAAATGTATTTAAAATTAGAAGAAATTGGTTTTATTAAAAATACAAAAAATGTTCATGCACATGCACTGAAATTCTGCATTTTCTGTTTTTATTCCTGAATGTGTTTTTAAAGTAATTAAATCAAATTCTCCTTCACAAGGTTCATACATTTATATTTCATCACTTCATCGTTCTTTTCCAATTTCTTTGAATTGCAATCTTCTTCACTGCTTTAATTTATCATATATTTCTCATGAGTCATGTGTATTACTGTACTATATTATATATTGCCAATAGAGGCGACATTTTTATTTTATCTTTATGGTTTTGTGCACTACTAGTCTATAAAATATAACAATGAAATATCAATTAGTGTTGATATTTAATACAGTATTTCATTAATAATTATGTTTGTGGTTAATTTGTCGGACCGGCCTACGACCTTCGTATCCTATGTTGGTCCCAAGTAGTTATTCTAGGCCTAGCCTAGGGCTTTCTGTTTGGAAGCTGAGTTGACCAACACCGATGATGCCCTCCTCTCTGGCATAACCTCAGCTTGCCTGGGTGATCAGCTGGCATATTAATCATTTTCAAACAAAAACAACATTAGACTTACCGTAGAATTCACACTGTATAACTGAAAAGGATGCCGACACTGATACCTTCTTTTAGATAAAATTGAATATTCTTTTAATTAATTAATTATCATCAGTCGTTGCTAAAACAAACACAACACAAGCAAGATTTTTTTTTTTCGAAGCGCCCTCTTTTTCTATTTGTTGAATTGCCTTGATCTATGGCCGTATTCGACTAGTCGTTCTCCGTTAAACCACGTCCACCTGCACAGCAGTAAATATGGCGCCTCCTATCTCGTGGTAAGACTTATTTTAACGTTTTTCATTGCGTGCATACAAAATCGGCACCTAATTAGTGATTAGGAAAAATGATTGCAATGGTTTTTTATTCTTTGGCTAAAGGACAGATATACTGTAGGCCTAAATTTCTATTTATTTATTACTTTATTCTATTCAACCTTCACACTGATAACAAAAACACCACAAACGAACCAGATGGCAAGAACAGAAAAGCACCTCTGTATATCTCTTGAGATTCATATTCAAGAAAGATAAAATCCACAACACTTGAGAGTACAATGTGAACGATGTTTATTTATAACAATAATTACAGTAGACACTAGAACCAATTTCATTGATTGGACATTAAAAGAGCATTCATTATTTTTTTCTTCAAGCACAAAATACCAGAAAGTTTAGATTTAGAGTACAAGTATTAATAAGGGCAAAATTAGATAATTAAGAAAGAACCCCAAATAATTATTATTGACTGTCTTCTTTGTGTCCACAAATTATACTTTAAAATGGTAAACAATCTGCACACCATCAGGAAATAATATTGGCTGAAAAGTTGATCACTGCAATAATATTGCAGTATGGTGAAAATCAGTTCTATAATGGAACACAACCATTAACATTCAAACTACTGTAGAGATATGAAGTACTCAATAGACAACCTCTGCCATGCCTTTTGGATTTACTAAATTCAATATTGTCCAATTTTGTCCCCCTTTTCTACGTTTCTTCATAAGGTTTGTCTAAAAGAGCAAAATGTGCCAGTGGAGTCTTATCCCTGGCATATACAGTAGAATCTACTTTGAAGTATCACTGCAACCTAGCAGCTCAGAATGATTCTCATATGGTAATTGTTTATCAAGTTATCTACCAGTAAAGCCAGACACTCACTGCATTGTGTGGATTTGACAACGGGCTTTAAGCGATTCGGTGTTGTGTTGACTACGGCAACGTGAGTTTTATAAATATGCGCTCGTTGGGGCGCCTGCATAATTAATCACGCGATACGAGAGAGCGCGTCGTCCTTTAAATCGAAACAGCTTTGATGTTGAGATGGGAAGTGCAGAGTATGACGTTTATGGTTGACTAAATTCCTCGTCGCAGCTCCCCGCGTCGCCCATTTCAAAAGCTTGCTATTAGTGGGCCAATGCTATACCACTATGCACGCGTCCATTACATGTTTGTTTGTTTTTAATGATGATGCGTTCAGATTGCCACAGACTACCAGCAGATGGCATCGCATCGTTTAGCGCTCACATGGAGGAGCGGAGTTAAAATTGTTGTACGACCCACAGAGTACCTGGCTTTATAATCATCCTAATAATCCTGGGGTCTTAGTGGCAATTTAATGAATGAAGGATGTGTGTTTTACGGTACCATTAGTGCTAGAATTTGTATAACTTCCCTAAGTAAATGGATGCTTTTGCATAACAATGGATCCAAAGTGACGTGATATACTGTACTGTACAGTAGGTATTCTAAACTACAGACGACTGTATGAGAACTATACTCTGCACTGCTACTACTACAGTAGCTATAGTGTAGTTTCATAAAAATAGAAAATAGTAGTTCTCTCTGTGCACACTGCAAATGTATGTTCACATCATATTTTGATTATGAAAATTTTTTTCCACAATCCTCACATTAATATGGTCTCTGTTGGGTGTACTTTCATATGTCTTCGCAAATGACCACTTCTGTTGAATTTCTTTCCACAATGTTCACATTCAAATGGTCTCTCCCCTGTATGTATCATAAAATGTCTTCTCAAATCGCTACGTATATTGAATTTCTTTCCGCAGTCCTCGCATTCAAATGGTCGTTCTCCTGTATGTACCTGCAAATGTACTTTCAAATGACTGCTGTCCTTAAATTTCTTTCCACAATGTTCACATTCATATGGTCTCTCACCTGTATGCACCCTGAAATGCCTTCTCAAATCAGTACTTCTACTGAATATTTTTCCACACTGTTCACATTCGTATGGTTTTTTACATCTCTGTACCCGCAAATGTCCATGAATATTGTCCGTAAATTCTTTTTCTCCCTTATGTGTATTTAGGTGTGTATTCAAATTGCTTTTGTTTGTAAATTTCATTCCACATTGTTCACATTGGAATTCTGCTTCTGTTGAGATTCCCAAATGTGATTTCAAAGTAATTAAATCAAATTTGTCTCCACAATGTTCACATTTATACTTCATCTCTTCATTGTTCTTTTCCGAGTGGTCCTTTGTACTACCGTAATAATCATAATCACCTTCTAGTTCATCGCATCCATAATTGACATTTTTCTCATGTGTGTTATCAGCTGACATCATTAATGGCCTAGAAAATATAAGTGAGCAGGAGTTCAGAAAATATTAATAATATAATTACTCAGTGTTACAGTACATTACATCTATTCATTCATGTTTTCTTATATTTTTTACAGAAGATTTTGAAAGTAAACTGAAGAGAGAAATATGACCAAAAATGAAAAAAATAGTAGACCCCTGTACAATGTGACAATATCTATTTAACTGAATTAACTAACTATTTTCTGCTAGCCTAGAAATTCCTCCTTTCTCTAGGCCAGCTAAAACCACCTGAATTTATGTAATTGAATTTATTATCATTGATGTACTCAAAATCCAAAAAAATACAAAATTAAGTAGTTTTATTAAAATAATGACTAGGCCTATACTTACTTTACAATAAATAGGTTTATGATACCATTTACAATTGCAAATTTTAAGTTCGTTTTAAAACTGGGAATTACGCTAATTTGATGATGCTTGGCCTGAAAATGTTTTTTTTTTCTTTTCTTTTCTTTTTTTTTTTTTTGTATTTTCCCACGGAAGCTGAACTAAACATTGGTGGCACTCACTGAAAATAAAGAGGTACAAAACCGATTCTGGTTTAGGCCCTAGGCCTAGGCTATAGCCTAGTCTCCCTCCACATGCGTACCGAAAAGGTCGGTTGGAAAGCTAGGCCTACTTGAGGGCCTCTGTGTACTAAACAAATCAATAAGTGATGGGCTAGGCCTAGAACATTTTCATACCAAAAATCTCGCTTACCGTAAATTCCGATTGGTATATCTGAAAACAGTGTCAAAACCTATTTTCAATTGTAGATAAAATGTAATTGATCATTTACGGCAGATCAAGCAATCGGGAAAAAAAAACAAATCTTCATGACACAGTATAGCACAGTAAACTATGGGTATTCGACTGGTTCATTTCGTTGTACAATTTTTCGTTTCGATTGGCTCGTAATTAAGATTTCGTTGTGAATTAACGTAAACCAGAGTTAATTAATTAACATGACCAAAACGAACATGGCCGATTGGTCAGTTTAGAAACAACATTTGCGTCAATATAATTTAGATTAAATTTCAGAAAATAAAAAATTGTTTTGTTGAGTATTTACAAGTTTTCTATTCGACTTGTCGTCTTCGTTATGGTTTGTTACGGTTCGTCATTGGTAAATTTACTAATATATTAAGATATTTTATTCATAACTCAATCCATATCAGTGGCGTAGCCAGAATATTTCTGTAGGGGGGTGGGGGAAAGTGTTCTGATCGAAAAGAGGAACCAAATGCCGGGGACCAGGGAGCCGCGAAGGGCCCGGTCAATCTTATAAAATAATAAAATATATAAATTAAGAAATAAACCTACATTTATGTTCCTTTAGGCAGGGTAAATTCCAGTCAAAATGGGTTGTTTTGTGGGTTAAGTAAATTATATAACTCGCTTTTAGTTCAAGATAATAGTCTTGATATATTTTCTTATTTTTTCACTCAGTTTAAGAATGAAGTTTTAGGTTTACTTTAATTGTCTTTATACTTTTTAGGCCTTTTTACGGTTTGTTTTGTTTTGTATTTCCTGTTTCATGTAATAACTCTTCTGTTATTGGCGAATTTTATTTGCTGTTGGTTGTGTTTTTTTTTAAATAAAATAAAAAAATAAAATAAAGATATAATATTTATATATAATATTTATAAATATATACATATCTATACATATATATATCCGAGGATTTTCCAGAGTCCAATGTCCCAACGGGACCGTAAGTGGTCGTGTGGTCGGGCGTCACTCAAAATTTCTCGGAGAGATTGAGGCAGGGTGGTGATAATCCCCGGAAACTATAACAATTAATTTAGTGCTTTTCAAAAGATTATTTAATTGATCGACATAATAAAAAATACACTTTTTCCTTCCCGACGGGGTGTGGGTGACTGCCCCCCCCCCCCACTCCACAGACAGTAAGTCCATATATATGTATAACATGTCTAACTTACTTACGATACATATTATATATTTATACATGGACTCCACTGCACTACATATAATTATGTGGGGGCCACATAATTTTAGGGAGGTCTGGTCCCCCTCACGTTTCGTCCGCAATGTAAATTCCTGAGTCAAGAAAATGCCTGAAAATTGTTGAAATGAACTACGTAATTGATTGATCTTAGGAGGTCGGCTTTACCATACCCAACAGAACCAGAGTGGGGCTGTGGTGGAAGTGGACTCACCGGATTTACATCAAAGACAATTTTCTATGGTACATAACACATAATAATTCTCTATGGTTTGCCGAAAATCCCTGATAAAAGATCATGAGAAATTTGTTGGCACTTCATTTAACCTATATGATAGTGATGCTTTGATGATGAATTTTAAGTGTCATTTCTGGCCATCTTATAGAGGTACTATTTCTTCAAAATTTCCCACCTCAGTCCCATCTACGGTGAGGCTGAATTTTCCCACTTCATGCCCATGGTGTGGCTGACGTGGGCGTACACTCACGCCTTTGAAGCAGGTAAATTCATAAAAGACGATGTTTTTAAGTTTTATGTTATCACATGATCTTTGTGGTTGCCGAAAATCCCTGTTTAGAGAAATTGGTTGGCCCTTCATTTTGCCTATAATGGTGACGTGATAAGTTTTACTTATATAAAAGTGAAATTTCCTCAAATGTTTGCACCTCAGGCCGAACCAGATGAGGTGGGCGTGGTCACACGAAATTTACCCCCCTCCCCCACTTTCTAAAAACAAATCTGTGCCCTTGGTTATAATAATGGAATTTTTTTTTAAATACTGTATAGAAAAGGCCCAGATACAGTAGTTACTGTAATTACTGTAGTTTTGAAATTGAAATTATAGGATAAGATAACCCACTAACCCACTTAAGATTTGAGAGTGAAGAAAGAGTCTTCATGGCTCAGTGGAGTAATGCTGGGGGCCTTTTTGGGTCCCGGTCACCAATTCCATTGTAAGATTTTAGATGTGCTTGTTTTTTAATCATGTTTGTCACGGTATCCTAAATGTTTTGAATGACAAAATAAATGATACATCAGTGGCGGATCCAGGAATTTGAAATAGACAGGGCCTAGGGGGGAATTTAGGTGGAGCCTTTGGTAGCTTCCCCCTACAGTCGATGTCATAGACACATTATGCTGTTATGCATCAATAATTCTTTTGAGTAAGGGTGCTAGATCAAGGATCATGTGGGTCCGGGCGTGCATACACAGTGGCTACCCCTATGCTAAGCTATGCTGCTCTATGCCAATAAAGGGAATAGGTGGAAACGACTCGCACTAACAGATTGACACCATCGGCAATTTACGTCAAATGTTGACTTTATTTAGCAAACACATATATAACACATATCAATGGTGATAGTCTATGAGTGGATACTTACCTGGATATACCGGCTAATTGCAAGAGAACACCTCTCGAAAAATAATCTGCGAAAAAATTGTGACCCCACAACCATGCAACTGTCGACTGTTCTAATATTTTTCGAGGGGTGGAGAGAGAATAGGCAATAAGTCTGTTTATCCAGGTACGTATTACAAACCACTACTTATTATTAAAATCTTATTAATTAAAATCTCAGGCCTACTGTTGCTCAATTGGTAGATTTATGTAGCAGTATTGTTGACACATTATGAACTTCAAAATGTACTGTACTGAAGGGTTCAAGTCTTTTTGTCTATTAAAATGGTTTGCTCTTTCCATAAAATTGTACATTTCAGAACACATGCAGCAGCTGTAAGATTCCTGCCTTCTTTATTGAAATAAATTGAGATATAAAACTTATATCACAACTACAAACACAATGATTAGAAAAAAGAAAATAACCAACATGCATTCATCACAGGCAATTTAAACAAAATACTTCATTTTACAGTATTAAGCAATTAGTAGAGCTCCGCATAGTACACTATAGGAAAATTAATTATAAGAAGGTTAGATTTAATGCTTGAATAATTTCCTGAGGGCCTGCAAGGCCCGAAGGAAATTTTTGAATGCATTAAATCTAACCTAAGTATAATAGTTTTCCGCTAGTGTACAATGCATGCTCTACTAATTGCGTTATAAGTCAATCGCCATCTTTTAATATTATTTTTGATAACCAACTGTTGCACTGTAGCTGTTATCGGTTGCTATAGTGGTATGATCAGTATACTGCGTGCGTACATTTAGCTGTGCATATGCTGATTTGTGCTCCTGTAGTACGTGTTAACTGCACATACAGTACGGATACGATGAATAACTACTGTAGCCTATTTCATAATTTGTATTGTATAAGAAGAACTTTGTAATGTTTCACATTCGTCAAAGAAATAAACATTTTTTAAGCATTCGAGAGACAATATAGTCACTGTCACTAACTTTTTGGTTGGTGCAGACAGGTAAAAATCGTGGGATAATTTCGCTACGTAGGCTAGCCTGTAGTAGTAGGAGGCCCCGGCGGCCTCCTGCCTGGTCGTAGGCCTACATCTAACTTTGTTCCTCGAGTCTAGAATATTCCTACAGTATTAAACATTCAGTTTGTTTAGTTTATTAGGGTTAATTGTTTATACTTAATATTGAATTTAAATTAACTTTCTTCGGATACTAATTAACCTTGTTTTAAAAGTACAGTATTTTTCAATTACAATTCCAATTTTCATCGCAGTGCGCAACATGTTCGCAGTGACTAAAAAATGAGGAAATTTTTTTTGCACACAAACCTAAAAAAAAAAATCAAGCCAAGCTTCCACTAATTGAAAAATTAGTGGACTGCAAGGTGTAGGCAAAAAACATTGGGAGAAGCAGTGATGACGTCACGATTGACTTAACAATTAGATGCCTTGATAATTGAAAAACTCTTGGTTAATATAGTGGCAATTACATTGGTAGCCGGACCTTAAGTCTCATTGACCTTCCAATAACATCTCTTCTGTATCCTCAAATGTGCTTTTAAATTGCTACGAGCTTTAAACCTCTTTCCACAGTGGTTGCACTCATATGGTTTTTCTCCTGTATGTGTTCTCAAATGTATTTTCAAGCCACTTATCTGATTAAATTTCTTTCCACAATGCTTACATTCATATGGGGTCTCGCCAGTGTGTATCCTCACATGTGCTTTCAAGTTGCTGGTGTTCTTAAATTTCTTTCCACAATGTTCACATTCAAATGGTCTCTCTCCTGTATGCACCCTTAAATGTATATTCAAATGACAACCGTGCTTAAATTTCTTTCCACAATGTTCACAATGAAGTGATGGATCGTCTGTTTCAATTCCAACCTGTTCCTTCAAGTAGTCATCAACCATATGCTCTTGTTTATCAGATTTATGTGGCACTTCTCTTGTATGTATTTTCAAATGCACTTTCAAATTCCTACCATCTTTAAACCTCTTTCCACAATGTTCACATTCATATGGTGTTTCTCTTGTATGTGTTCTCAAGTGAACATTCAAACTGTTTATTTGTTTAAATTTCCTTTCACAATGTTCACATTCTGTCTCTTATACACATCTAGATGTGTATAAGAGACAGCCCACAACCATGCAACTGTCGACTGTTCTAATATTTTTCGAGGGGTGGAGAGAGAATTTCCACAATGTTCACATTCAAATGGTCTCTCTCCTGTATGCACCCTTAAATGTATATTTAAATGAGAACTGTGCTTAAATTTCTTTCCACAATATTCACAATGAAGTGATGGATTGTCTGTTTCAATTCCAATCTGTTCCTTCAAGCAGTCATCAACCTTCTGGTCATGTTCATCGCATTGATATAGCACTGCTCTTTTATGTATCTTTGAATGTGCTTTCAAATTTCTACCATCTTTAAACCTCTTTCCACAATGTTCACATTCATATGGCGTTTCTCCAGTGTGTATCCTCAGATGTGTTTT